CAATTGCGATAAAAACACACAATGAGTTTAGTCAATACAACCCTAACTGAGTAAATATATGCTGCAAAATGCTAAATGAGCCAACACTTCACATGCCGGTGCGTTTGTGCCCAACCATATACAATTAAAAATACTATTCTGTATATTAAAACAATAATGCCCTTTCATCTAAACATGTAGTACACTATAGTCTATATAAAAATCACTTTATTTTCTAGTCTCCCCTTCCCCTTCGCTAATGTCAACGAATATTTAAATAATAATATTATTGTTTTAATAGTAATAATCCGTTTAATATCATAAAAACGAAATTTGAATGAATATTAATTTTAATACAATACAAAGCCGTTAATTATATCACATATCAGTGCAATACCAGTGTTTTCGGCACCATTAACGCCGTATAAGAAAAGGATTGGCTTTTTTATGTATGAATTAATTTGTTTTTATAGTGAAATATTTGTACTCATTATATGCACTACCAGACTGAGTTTTTAAGACTACCATGTCTATGTGTGTGAAAACAAATTATTTTTTTTGCCTTTTATTGTATAATATGTGTTCAGTATTTAAGAAAAAATGGTTTTTGACTTAAAATTCTTATTGTGTGTTAAGATAAATGGATTTTTACTCTATGTTCACAGAAAAAGTGCAAACTTTAGACATTTTTCTACTACAAAATGGAAAAACTTTTTTCTTTCTTACTTATACTTACTTTTTAATGATGTCATGTCATTAACGGCAACATTTCATATCAAAATACAACAAATATTTTCACTATTTTCTTATATAATTTCCCTCTACATCGCAAATATATTCAATGAATAATTGTTTTGTGCATTGAATTAATGATAAGAAATCGCGTTTAGAAAAAGTGCTCAGAAATTAATACATTATAAGACACTACTTATTATTATTCTTAATGAATGAGTAAATGAATGATAAAAATCTTCAGAGACTATGAAATTGAGACAAAAGTTTTTCGCCCTATAAGTGAATTAATTGAATAAATGAATGAATGACTAGAAAAAGTTTTTCCCCATCAAACAACTCAAGTCACAAAATAAATTGCATAGATTTTCAACGTTAGATATCAATTGCTATGAGTTTTGTTTCACTAAATATCTATCTCTCCGCTCCCCATCCTCTACTAAAACACATCCAGAATATCACTAATTAGTTGTGTGTATGATATCTATAGTGTATGTATGGGTGCTCTCGGAGTTTGTAGATATTCATGGCATTCATTTGTGTGTTTGTATGCATGTGTGCATCGCTCCCGGCTTTTCGTTGTAAATTAGCAGTGAATATAAGAGAGAGAGAGAGAGAGAGAGAGAGAGAGAGATGTAAATTAGAATTACATACGAATTGAATGCATAATATCGCATGAATTCTGTACTTAAATCTTATTATAAATTTTACAATTGAACTCTCATTTCCTATTGATTTCCTATGGATTTGCATTATTGTATTATTCGTCTGCCTGTGCCTATCGGTGCGCTCATAGGCTTCCTATCATTAATATCGCTGACAATGAATGAATTTTGCGAAAAATAATATAAAGTAATAATCAAACCTATTTATAAAATTGACATCAAATTAATTATTTTCACATTCGAGAGCATATAATACATACAAATTGAGGCCACAGTAAGCCTAATACACCATCACTTATATGATTAAACTTGAAAATTACTTTTCAGAAAAGGACTCGTATTCTCGGTCTAACAACCCGTATGTCTCCCTCTCTATTCATTTTCGGGAGTTTACGCTAATATACGGTTTAATAATTAATTGAATGCCTGATCCCTCACTCAATTGTATGGTCTCCCTATCACTGCCTATTTTAACCGAAATATTTCAATGCTTTTCATTTTTATAGAGATCATCATTAAATCCATGCCTGATCAATAGGAAATGAGAGTTCAATTGTAAAATTTATAATAAGATTTAAGTACAGAATTCATGCGATATTATGCATTCAATTCGTATGTAATTCTAATTTACATCTCTCTCTCTCTCTCTCTCTCTCTCGTCTATTATACTGTATATATATATTTGAAAACTAATTTTCTTGTGAACCTCTCGTTTCGATTGAATTCTTGTATTGGCTTTTGTGATGACTTCTGCCAACTCTTAATAAGTACTAATACTACACAACACGTACTCCACAATACAGACCATAGACCCGACGTATATACCATCGATGGTCTCCCTCTCCCCCACCAATACTACAAATTTCTCCCTCCAAGCAAATTATGATTTACGAGAAATCGTTCCCAATCTCCCGGTGCTCTCACTCTCCAGCCTTTATCCCACTCTCCGCACACATTACACTACATATCTATATCTTATACACTCATTATTTATCTCTCTCTCCCCCTCTATATCTATGCCTTCAAAAAGTTTTGGGTTTAATATATTAACTCTAAATAAGAGACGATTTGCTGAAAGGGATTCCCATTCATTCAATTCAATTGAATTATTTCAACATTACATTTATTACAAGTCCTCGATTTTGTCTACCGGTGCTCTCCTCCGCTCTCTGCCCTCTCTCTCATCACTTAATTTCGCATTAAAAAATAAGTCAATAATTTGAGGCTATATTTGTAACATATGTAAAGTTATTTATAATCTATACTAATATTTCACAATATAATTACAAATGTATTTCATATAATTCTAATGGATTACACTAATTAAGTAATTAAAATTTGAATTTAATGCATCATTACAACAATTTTTAATAAAATATTTTAGTTTTATTATTTTTGAAATCAAAATAAATCTAATTTCTTAATGATATAAATAGTACCCCTGCCCTCCCTCCCTCTCCCCGTCTTAAATCTGTCATTCATTATATCAGTTATATCTTTATATACGATATAAAAATTAAACCCAACTGTCCATCAATTACTAAATCATAGAATTATTTTTTTTGTCTCTCATTTTGCTCTCAATTTTATCACAACTTTATCTCTGAGTTTGCATTTGATATGTATTTAAGCGTAAGGAAAGTCACTTAATGTAGAGCTCTATGTATGACTTGTTTACTAATTTCTCCCTAAAAATGAAATGTTTTTTCGTAATATTTTTATATTTTCACTGATAAGAAGATATTTATTTAACATTTTATTTTTAGGTTTTGATTCCCAAACGGCTCATCAGTATTTAGTCGGGTCTCACTCTCTCTCACTCTCTTTCTTTCTCTCTCTCTCTCTCTCTCTCTCTCTGAAAAATATTTTTACATTCATATCATTTAACATTTGATTACGAGTAAAATAATATATTAATAAAAATATAGTTAAATCTTAACTATATTTTAAGGAGATGTGTATTGATTTGTCAAAAATTGTATGATTTTGTGACAGCAACTAAAAGGAAAGTTAACTGAAATGCTTTCAAAAATATATCTCAATTTATATTAATGTTTTAAAATTGTTTTAATTGGGAATTGAATTAATGAACTCATATTACAGTATATTATCGATTGATTTTTAAAAATAAATTCAATTTCACAAATGAAACGAGTTTTATAGTCTCTCGATATTAATTATTTGATTAATTTTATTGATAACAAATAAGTTGTAATTAATTTTTAATTGATTATTAAGCATCAGATACAAACACAATGTGTTAGCAAAACAAACGGGTATTAAATGCATAATAAGCTTAAATGAGAAAAATTTTTGAAATTTAAAATGTAATTAATTTTTATTATACACTAATACTGTGACACATAAATTAAGTTCAATTAAATTGCTTCCCAAATCCAATTAAAACTCGCTATAGTATCTACATATAGCGTACAGTATTAAGCTATTATTTTATTTATATAGAGTGTAAAATATATATTGTGTGAAAATAATTATTTAACATTTATTAGATTGAAAATTGTAATTTTTAGGGCTCTATTATACTTTAATTTATATAAGTTTCTATTATATAAAGTATAACTTGTTGTTTATTTTTTGGTATAATTTTTGATTAAAACAATTAAGTTTACTCTTGAAAACCAAATTACAAAATGAAATTTAATTTGAGTTGAATAAACAGTTGTTTCATTATTATTTAAATCTCTCTCTCTCTCTCTCTCTCTCTCTCTCTCTCTCTCTCTCTTACTCTCTCGTATGACAAACGCCTGGAGAAGACAAAGAAATTCATTGTATTTATTATAGGAATCCATACAAATGACCGAAAATTAGAATTTTTGAGCAATAAATTAGACTTTTGTTTGGCTGTTAAAAAACGCAACAGAATTGAAAATATTTTTGTATTTCATTATTTGGCATCCAATTTATTTTTAGTAATTTAGTGAACACTTTGAAGTTCAATGTATGATAAGCCGTGCAAAAGCTAAAACATTATTATTATTGTCTTTATCACAGTATTGTTTGCCTCAATATTACATAATGATATTATTCTACTATGGCATACAATATGTGAAAAAATATTTCATAATCATTGTCATGAAAATAAATGCCAAAAATAAAGACATCAGTTAAGTGCTTATGAATTAAATTCAATGATTTGTGTGAATCGCCGCTCGAGAGCCATAATATCATTGCTTTCATTAGATATGATTAGCAAAAGATTAACAAAAATAGTTTTGTCTAATAACTTGCTCACAGATACATAGAAGTTATATAATAATATATTTATTTGCATTTCTATGAGAATCTATTGTGTTTGCAATTAATCTTACTCTTAATTAACTGAACCATAAGTTTTCAAAATAAATACCAAAAACCTATTTAGCGTCATATAATAACAATTATTATAAATAACATATATATTATTATTAAAAACTCAGTGTAATTAAAGTTTAATTATTCTCAAATTTAAATGTATGATACGATACGATATGATATGAAAAAACAATTACTTTGTGCTAAATATAGTCTTAATTCATATATTAAGCGTTTGTTTATTCAATTTGTTATCATTTAATTACAAATTAAAAGTTAATTTTTCTCAATTTCTGCACTCGTATTGTGTTTTTAGATATCAAACAAGTCTTGTGTCTGAATGTCAAACATAATAACATAACAATAGGACTGTTAGTCGGTTGTGAACCCACTGTTCTCTACCGTAAACTAATTCACACACAACAGGCCATTCATAAGCCATTTATATGGACACAAAATTAGGTAATGATAGCCAACACACAGTGGTCTGGTATGGTATGGCATGTTGTGTCAGTTCTCATTGTCATTTGGTCTCAAATCTACCCGTAAATGAATGGAAACCCCTTTCCTTAACCATAATGTGTTGCGCAATGTTTTTTGAATGTCGTGTGAATTTCAAATTCATGACCACTTTGTAGTCTCAGCTATTTTTTGCTCATATTTTCATAATTAATTTAATGCTTGAAACTTTTAATGGAGTCGAGAATATATTTTATTATTTTTAAAATGACTTTCAAAATATTAGATTGTGAGAGAAAATGAGAGAGAGAGAGAGAGAGAGAGAGAGAGAGAGAGAGCACTTATCGATTATTTTATGTTAAATATTTTTTTTATTAAATATTTGATAAATTAATATTCAAATTATAATTGAAAATGTGCGCAACGTTTTATCGTATCTGATTTATAATATTAAAAACACTCGCTTGTTATTATTTTTTAGTTTGTAATAATGTTTTTTATTTTTATTCTTTACTATGGCTTTATGTCTTAAATTAATTTTTAATATGTAATTATAACTTATATAATATTGTGGCCGAGAGACACAAAAAATTAATGTCTAAATTAAAACTATATTAACTGTATACAAAACACTATTTTAATTAATATTGTAATCATAAAGTTAATAAAAATAATGTTTTGTATAAAATGTTTTCTCTACTATAATCTATTAATCAGTGTTTTAATATATTCTAATTTTTTAAGTAATAGCTACTTGTTATAAAGTACCAACAACCAACAAATACTGTTAGACTTTTATATTGTATATAAAAATTAACATTATTTTAATATGATTTTTGTACAATATTAAAAAAGTATTATCTGAGATATTTTTATGGGCATAATCTTGTGGCAAAACTATATGATTATCATAAATGAGTAATTCATTATAATCTAAATTGTATAATTCATTATTTTCGCACACATAGTCTGCCGGATAAACTATTTTCACACAAAAATTACTTTTATTTGTTTTGATTTTGTTGACTAAAAATGACAAATTATTTTGTGTTAAGATATTTCAAAAGAAATTAATTGTCACGTTTCAAAAGTAATGTTATATAATATAACTATAAGTTTAGAGAATAACATAATTAAAGTCATAGCAAAAAATAGATTAAATATATTAATTAATAATAATTTTCTCGGAATAGTATCTCAAATATTCATCAATTTGTTGTTAACCTTTAAATTCATGTTTATTAAAAATTGTTTTATCTGAATATCAATTTAAATTATATAGTTATCTAAGTTATAATTCATGGGAATTAGATTTCAAATTCGGTTATACCTAAAATATCTACAAAACAAAATTGGCATTAACTTTGAAAATCTTATTATTTTTTTGTAAACATATTTCACATATAAAAATAATCTTGAATAACTTTCTAAGCAATTAACAATTAATTCCAGTTTTTATTCAAAATATAATCAAAATAGTAAAATACTTAAATGAAATAATTTTGAGTAACAAATCATAACACATTTAGATTTGTCAGAAACTTGCAAAACAAGAAAAATTTACACAAAATTAAAATATAATAATATAATTGTGAAAGAATTAAGTTATGCTCTGATTATTTAAATATTAAAATGTGATATAAATTAAATTTATTTATAATTGTGAGATTTAATCTTATAAACAAAAAGTGGGTTTAAATTAAATTCTGTATTAATTATAAGTTATTATAACACTATTTCAATTTTACACTTTTGAAAATATTAATTTTACTATTTTTTGTTTACCATAAGAATTTTATATTTATGTATCAAATCTTAATTTTCTTTTTATTAATTTTTTATTTTGTGATCAAAATAGAGATTACATAAAAGAAATATTCATTAAATTTCGCATAATTATAACAAATATCAATTTTAATGATTTTATGTGTTATCATAGAAATCACAGGAATTTTGTTTTAATTACTGTAATAATATTACCAGTAATAAATTAATATACAGTATTTACAAAACGATATAAGTTAATATTTAAAATAATCCAAAACATATATTCAAAAATGTTTATGATAATAGATTTATATATTTCAAACTTTTTATTACTGCATTTCACATAAAAATTTAATTTATTATATATTTTTATTACAGTTTAAACTTTAAACAAATTATAAAATATTTACTTTTTGAACTACTAAGTTTAATATTTAAATAATATCTAAATTTTATAACAAATTAGTCAATCAAAGTCTTTGACAAATTAAATTTAAATTTAAGACTTAATTACTATGGTTTCTAATGGTAGCTTTGTATGTAATTTACAAAATCAATGTTTTTCTATTGAATTGATGACCAAAACTCAAAGAGTAATGAATTTTTTAATTGAACTGAAAAACAATAGATCTCTTAAACACAGGATTTTACTTTTAAAACATCAATTAAATTGAAAAAACGAAACAAAACTCTTAATTACAATAAAATTTTAATTAAAATTCTTTATTTAAAAACTTTCAAAGGTTTCTTTCAAATTGAATAAAATTGTATCGAAAAAACAACTGAATTTTCAATTTTTCATAACTTTTTTGTTTTGTGTTATAATTATATCGTAATTATAGTGATTTTGGTTAAGTATAATCATAGGTTTTAAAAACAAAATTTTATAATTATATTTATATTCAAAACTTCAAAGCCTTCAGCAATAATAGGATAAGTAAAATGAATGTATATTTTGTATGATATATTAAAATACAATTTTTAATTAAACTTATTGGAAAACCTTATTTTTATACACTATAAGCAAATGGTCATGTTTTCAATATGACATTTGACTTTAAATTAAATTTTCTAATTAATATGACATTCAAAAGTTTTAATAAACGGATATTTGCTTCAAAATAGCTACAAAAATAATGGATAATATACTGGTATTAATGAGTTTGGGAGGTATAGGAGGTATGGGAATCCTATAAACGGATATTGTGGTTTACAGTAAATGGGATAAGGATCCAGTGGTAAATTACTTTATTGTGTGCATTATTTTAATGAAATAGATATATTAATATATTTGTTACGAATGATGGCTAAAAATATTATATCAAACGAAAAACATTTAATTATTGGAGGGTTTCCTATGCATTAAATATCGTGATTAAAGTGAAGGAATTCCTCATCAAAAAAATCAAACAAAAAACACATAGACTTTGTTATTCTCACGCTTTTCTGGGTATACATTGCGTTACATAACGTTTGTGTGAATTAAAACACAGAATCACTTCAGACATAATCACAAAAAAGTATTTAAAAATTAAAATTAACTATAAAATAGTCGTCACATCAATTACCATCCCTTTCCATGTGTATGCCATAGTTTTATGAAAACTGTACTCTCAAACTTCGGTCTCTCTCTCTCTCTCTCTCTCGTGAGTATAAATAATTAGTGGAAAATATTTTTATTTTTGTGTTGTTTTGTTTTTTCCGTATAAGTATTTATAGAGTGATCATGAAATACATTATATTACATAATAACTGTTAGAGTCAAGTAAAGTACATAATAGTGTTGTATATAAAGGCTATTCAAAAGCAAAATACTCTTTAATTAAAAACTATTAGTTTTCTTATATTCCTCTTTATTTTAACAAAACTTTTGATATTTTTCTATTCAATAGCCTTTTGGAGAGCTATGGGATCGTTATTTAACAGACATTATAGTACTGTAAGTTTAAACTGAAAATTCATGAACAAAACGAAAAGATTTATTTAAAATCATTAATAAGATTGTTGTGTGCCTTTGGTATAAAACATAATATTTAATTATATTTTATCTTATTTTTCATTAGTATACTCTCGCAGTTATGGCTCACATCTCGGATCCTCCTTCGCCTCATAAGTCATTATAAGGCAGGAGAGAGAGAGAGAGAGAGAGAGAGAGAGAGAGAGAAAAAGTCACATCATTTCGTCGAAACTCATGCCATGAATACGTAATGAAATGTCTTTTTATATATATAATTAATATACAAATACTGTATATAAGCTCGCGGGCCTCCATGTCGTCGGCACCGGGCGGGCCCTCATTGGGCACCAAATAGTTAAGAAAATCCCTTTTATTGAAACTAAAGTACGCGGAGTTATAGCCGCCAAACGCCGTCTGATTGTTGAGCGTACCCGTCATGAACTTCGACAGCGAATTGATGTCCAGATAGAGGTTACGGTTGTCTTGAAATATGGATGAAGTGGTGAACAGTACAATGGCTTTGATGTCCGTCTTGAGGAACACCTTTTCCCGCATATTAGCGCCGCTGAAGGCCGTCACATCGGATCCGGTCTTGTATTTGGGTAACAGAAGCAGCGAAACGGCCGCCAAATCACCGAAATGTGTGATCTTATGGATGGGAACCGACGACGTCGTGGGACAGCCGATCAGACTCTGACTGTTGAGGTTCAACACCAGACACCCGGTCTGTGGCAATGACTTCCTCACCATTTCCGTGTGATATAAGCGTTGCGTGAGTTTCACGTCTTCGCCGAGCGATCCGTAGACTACGAGACAGATGTCGGGGACGGACCACAAGCCCTCACTCATGGCGTGAATCACATGGGCTTTGAAGTCATACTTCTCGACCCAATGGACGCGCGAACAGTAGTCCATCTCCTCGTCGATGGCTTCGCCGACGATCGCCGGGTCCCTGAAGACGACGTCGTCTTCCGGATGATCCGTACGGAACAAGTGGTAGATCTGAAGCGATTGGGACCTATTGGCGGCCACTCGTCGCGCCTCCGTTTGCCACGTCTTGCACACGAGGCAGCACTGGAACAGCTGTCGCAGCGACAGGTGTCTGAAGATCTTCGTCAGTATGAGTTCGTTGGCGAACACGTGTTGACATAAGTCCACGAAGTAGTCGTCGTAGTCATCACTGCCGAGGAATGTATGGATGATAGTAGCGGTCAGTATAGGAAGTGATGGTCAGAAAAGTGCTTACATTTCGTAATCCATTGAGAGTTTGGTCTCAATATTGACTTCAAGTGACAATTGGTTTCGTAAATAAAGTGATAATAAAAACCACTTTTGATTGGATTGAGTGCCGATTATAGTCACCACTTGTGGCCATACATAATCGATGGTGAGATCAATACTAATGAGTTGTATGTAATTATTATCCTGGTCATATTTTCATAGTAATTATAATTAATAAATAATTTTTTGTTGAAAACATTTCACAAATTGTAAACAAAATGTTTGCAAACTTTGCAGTCAATGCTCGCTATACTATACGCCGAGTTTAGCCGCTATAGCCATACGTGTAGTGATAGTAAACCAGTTTGCATAGAAATTTATTAATTAAACGGGTTTATTTGAATTATTGTGTCATTAAATTATCCTGGTTAAAGTAATTATCCTCTTAAGCTTAAGCTCTCAATTAAGCAGCTGATAATGAACGAGGTACATTTATGAGCGCGTATATAACGCCCACATGCGGTACAGTATATGCCTTACTGTGTGTTACTAGAGATGGCATTACACTTACGGTACGATTAAATGCATTGACTTTTGAGAGTTGAGAAAAGTTTTGTTTTATGAACTTTATTGAAGTTAATTGCAATTAATTCACGATTTAAAAGTCATGTATATACCAGTGCTCCCACTCATACCATACCATACCTTCCCGACCAGTGTTTCGACACATTTCGGTTGAGTCTTCAGTGGATGTGTTGCCTCCAGAAGTGATTTAATGAAAATATTATTAATTTAAATGTCATTTTTATCGCAACAGGGTTTATTTTAAAATGCCTAAACTACTGTATAAATTACTATTTTATGTACAATATAATTTAATTCATCAGGACATTATTATAATATTATAAATGCAACTCAAAACAAAATATTGTCTAGGCCTTATTTTAAAATAATTTAGTTTTGAAAACAATTCTTATTAACTTGATAATCACAAAGTACTTTGTATTTATAAATTAGTGTAGTTAACTTAATATATTAAAGATTAATCTATTAATTGGCTAAAAATATTATTTTAGTTAATTAAGTAATTAAATATACATACGGTTTCTAAACTATTCAATTAAAAACATTTTGAAAATTATTTCCATTAAAAAATTATAGTCAATAATTAATAGCAGTTTCAATACACGTCGACAACAAAACACATTTTGAATGATATACAGTAATAAAATTACTTTTTAAAATGTTACATCTAATATCACATAATCTCAGTATTAAATTGAGCAAGTTAACTCTCATGCTCTCATCAATATTTACATCCTATATTATAGGACCTATAAGGTTCAGTAATACATCTTTTTTACATATTTATTAATTATACTTATAATAAAATAAATTTAAATATAAATATAAACTATAGTCATTTTCATAGCCCTATAAGAATCTACTGTATATCCTTTTGCATTTACGCTTAGATTATGACCAGGGTATATGACTTAGACAGATTTAGTAAACCAGGAATAAACATTTATACCTGCATATTTTAATAGTGGCGACAACTTTGAGAACTTATGTCACCATAAGAATGGCTATGAAGTGGATCAAGGATAAGAAAGGATCAAGGATAAACGGACCCAAATTGGGTACTCAATAATCGCCATTGCAATTGGAAAAACATAAACGTCACTCTATCACCGCTTTATGGTATATATACTCACTTATTTGATTAATGTGCAAGGTGTTTTCTAATTTATATATAACATGTCCATTTTTGTGAATAGCGTGGGCTACTTATACCAGACTCACAGACGTAATGTTTTTGATCTAAAGAATACGACTGTCCTGGATGTTTTGAGATTGCATTTAAATACACTGAAAATCCTGATCATTGCGATTGAAAAGGAAAAACTAATTACCCAGGACAAATCGTGTAGATTTGATCAAGAACATGAGTATTCCGGAACTATTAAACATACAACTTGGCGCTCAGTTATTGGCCCAGTAGTTTGTTACTGATCAAGGTGTTTTACTGTTATTAACAGCATTTGTGTCATTAACTGGGCGCTAATAAGCCACATGTCTATTCATAAGCCTTCAAAGCTTGCTGATAAAATTAGCCAGCTAATAAATAAATAAAAAATTTATGTAAACTTCCTATATATTTTTGTAATTTAATTTTAATGTCATTTATACCATTAAAAATTGGATTAATTAAAAATTTTGATTAAAATAAATTAACTAAATTTTTAATTTGAAAATGTCTACATATATACTACATTTTTGACATAATTTATTTCATTTATTTATATCAAAATATTATGTTAATGTTAAAAATAAAAGTACTTTATATTTAATAGTATTTAGTATAATTAAAAATACATTTAAATTTATTTATTTAGGTGTATTTCATTTGAATTTCAATTCATTTCTAATGTAAATATGTGATTATAATTTATGAATTGATTTAATCGATTATAGTTTGCTTTAACTTAATATAAATCCGTAGAAAATAAAAGTTTTATTATAAATTATTAGTTGAGATTTATTTAAAATTAATATTTAAATGATTTGCAAATCAATTTCAAAGTTTCAACATTTAATCATTCATTCAAATGGGATGTCAAATGTTTTGGCGATAGTGGTTGGAATCAACTGTTGTGATACTTTCTGGTCGAGTGTAGAGCACAGGTATGTCTGAAAAATAGAGGTGAAGAGTGGTTAGAAGTCATGAGATGGTCGCTGATTGAGATGATAAACACTTTGTGACAGTAATTATGGACACAACTTATAGTTTTGGTGTTATTAATAAAGTGTATATATTTTCTAAACATAATATTTATCAAAAAATAAATAAGTTATAAAAACTTGTGTTTTAAATAAGTGGAAAATATTCGTAGTCTAGACTCATCTCTCTCTCTCTCTCTCTCTCTCTCTCTCTCTCTCCTCTCTCTCTCTCTCTCTCGTCGCTCATATGAGAGACTAAATTCAATTTTATAAGAACTTTGAGAACAAATCATAATTACATTAAAATTTTCTTTTATATTATTAATAGTTTATAACATTTTTAATATAAAAATATACACATCTTTGTGACCTAACGATAAAATACCTAAAACAATAAATATTACAAAACAATATTAGAGTAAATGTCGATTGCATGGCATACCTGGTCTTTAGGCAATCATAGATAGCGAGTTAAACAAAGGGAGAGAGAGAGAAACTGGTGGTGCAGTAGAAAAGGTAATTGTATAATATGATGGCACATACATGATATACCTGTGACCTAACATTGAGAGTACATATGAAAAGTCAAAATCATGGCTTACAGAGCGATATACCATTAAACGCTTGTATTATATTAAATGCACGAACTTTTCTACTTATGCTGTGGTTTAGGGTCCGAACAACCGGACAGACATTCAAACTTAAATATTCCATATATTACTCTCTCGTAATCATAACTTATGAGGAGAGGGTGTACTTGGTATAAGTTAGTAAGTTTAGTCTCTCTCTCTCTCTCTCTCTCTCCTCTCTCTCTCTCTCTCTCTCTCTCTCTCTTGCTATGAAGACGTCTTTCATAGAAAACTCAATTTATTGGCCATTAGTTGGGAATCAAAACATTTTTGGAAATAATTTATAAATACTTTAACAATTGATTGATCGGTAAAAATGTTTTTGTGATAAGA